AAAACTGAAGCCCAACAAAGTCACATGAAGTCACTTCAGCTTGTTTACCTCTGTCTAAAGAAGTGAGACAAATCACACACTTGTCCCACCGTTAAATGTATACATGATTTTAATAACAGCATACTCAAAGTCCCACCATTTGCCCCACCTTTAATGGACTTTTATTCAACGATCTTGGTCTGAACATTCAGATTCACTATCGGATATGTCTACTGACTTTAATCAGGATTGCTCTAAAGGCCCTGACACACCAAGCCGACTGTCGGCTGTTGGGCCGTCGGTGAGTGCCTGTCAGCCCAGTTTTTGTGATGTGTCCTGCACCGTCAGCACTTCCGTGTCGGCGGCGTTTTGGCCGATTGGGCATGTTGAATCGGTGGCGGAAATAGTCGGTGAAAGAGATCACTCTGATTGGCTGTTCAGCTTAGCGAATCAGTGCACAAGAAGAGAAACGGAAGTGATGAAAGAAAACAAACGATAAAGTCCAGAGGGCACACACAGAAGGCTAATTTTTGATCTGCATTTCATCTGAACTTTCGTGAATATTTTCACAACGCCATGGCCATCTGGAACGAAGATACTGAAGACCAGCTGATCACAATGATTCAGGAGAGGCTAGCTCTGTACGACATCACAGCAAAACGCTATGCCAACCGAGTGGTGAAAAGAGAGCTCTGGCGTGAGGTTGAAAATAAGCTTGTTATATCGGGTAAGATTTTCTTTCTGGCCATTGAGATCTTTAGCAGGAACTGTTCGTAATTGTTTGCTAGCTCACGCACGATGAATAAGTTCCTTCTTTTTGTTTGTCAAAGAGCTCAGGAAGAGGTGGGAATCTCTGCGAACCCAGTGTACCCGGTACAAGAAACTTGCACCCTCGGGGAGTGTTGGAGCACAGAAGACTGGCAGGCAGCAGTGGATACTGACCCGGCTGCAGTTTTGGAGCCCTACACAAAAAGGAAGGAAACCTCCTCCAACCTAACTATCGTGGTAAATGAACCCTTTTATTTGTTGGGTAAAAAGAAAACATTGTTTCTTTCTTCTGTCATTTACATTTAACATCTGCTCATCACTGGTTTTATTTCCTCGCCCCTGTAGCAAGTGAATCTGCCTGTAGTGAAACTGGGGCTACCCGGTGCTTCCTCCGCAGGCTCCACTTCAGTCGGGCCGGGTGCATCTTCTCACTGTAACCTAAATAACAACTGGGGCTCGCTGCTTCCGGGGCTAGCTCCAGCTAGCCCCAGCTCTGAACGGAAGGAGCCAACTGAGAGCCCCACTAGCCTCAGCCGCTGTGAGGCTAGCGGGGCGTTAGCTGCAGCATGACCGGAGGGAAGCACAGCCAGTTAGCCTCTGCTAGCTTCCCAGCTAGCCCCGGCTCTCCGTTTATATCCAACCAGTGCACCGAGCCCCGGTTGTTATTTAGGTTAAAGTGGGAAGAAGCAGTGGGCAGCTGAGTGAAGTGGAGCCTGCGGCGGAAACACCAGGACCGTCTGGATGCAAAAATAAGAGTCAAAATGTAATCGTGTTAAATTATGGTGATCTCAATATTGACCAAAATAATCGTGATTATGATTTTTGCCATAATCGAGCAGCCCTAGTTTGTACCCCTCTTTTCATATGTATCCTTTCGTACATTAACTTGGTTTCACTCTCCCGTTATCTTCCACAATTGTGAAATTATTTTTTGTTTTTATAAGGAACCTTCAGCTGATGCTGATTCTGAGTCACCCTCAGACTGGACCAGCACCTCAGAGGAGCCCTGCTTCTTTGAGGCTGAACAAAGACCCAGCACTCCCCTAACGGAGTCCATCATCTGTGGAGCAGAGTCCACACCTACACCCACCAGAGAGGAGCCACTGCCAAGCACCTCCAGCCAGTCAAGCACTCCGAGGCCTCGGGTGAAGCGCAGCAGGAAGTTGCTGGACGAGTCTGTTAGTGAGGAGTCATCAAACTTGATGCGCACCATTGGTCAAACCCTGGAAAAGTTAGCTTCTCAGGAAGAGAACAATCATGCCATCCATGCCTACTGCAAAAACATTGAGCTCAGAATGCAGAAGTTGCCCCCACATTTACTGCCATATTTCCAGCATGAGGTGGACGACTGCCTCTTCAAATATTCAGTGGACCAGAGCCTGGCATCAGAAACTTGTGACAGACAGTTTAGTAATCTGTAATGTTGGATGTGGCTACAAACTTGTAACAGATGTAAATAATTCCTTTTAATGCCGTGCTACGCAGTTGATTGTTACATTTATAAGAATTTCATTGTCCTGCACATTTGATTATAAAACACTTTGACTTTGAGAGAGTGTACTTTCAATGACTTTGTGAGAGTGTACTTTCAATATATTGAACTCCAGATAAGATAGTATCATGCAAAATAACTTTATTTTGTATTTTTAGACTACAGCCATAGAGACCTGAAACCACAGCCAAGTAGTTTTCTTGTCAGTCAGACACTACAATATCCATTACAGGAAACAGGATAGGCATATTGTAGTTGTAGAATGTTGATCCAGTTCCTCGTGGGGGGCGAATGTTGATGTTTTTCCCATCCAGAGCACCCAGGCAGTTTGGGAAGTTCCACTGAGCCTGGAATCCATCGGCTATGTCAGACCCCTGATTACCTTAACAGACAGCACTATAAACATCATATCACACATACCTTCAAGTATTTCTCCTTTAAAACCTGGTAGATTGCTGCACAGTTTTCAGGAACCAATTGCCGAATTGTTGATATTCCCACTTGGAACTGGTAAGAAAGACTCCTGAAGCTTTCCCCTGTAAATATTAACAAGCACATAACTCAGTTATCTATACTACAGACAGTGTGAATTATTTGCACAGAAAACCAGTTGTGTATGTATTGTATGGTTTAAATACAGTCACAGTTTCAAGTACTGCTACTGAAAGGGCTTGAAATACCACCAATCCATCCACTGATGTCACACAATACTGTTTGTCTCGGCTAATTAATGTGATGTCTTTACATACTAAAAGGAACCCCACATTATTTACATTTCCACAGTCAAGACTATTCACACTTGTGTCTATGCCTGTTCAGTAAACGCCCTACACACCCTATGTCTGGCTTTACGAATTTGAACATACAAAGAAAGCTCTGAAAACCTGTTGTGTATGTATTGTTATGGATTAAATACTTTCAGTATTTCAAGTACTGCTACTGAAAGGACTTGGATACCACCATTCCATGCATTGACGTCACACAATACTGTCTGGCTAGGATAATGTAGTGTCTTTACATACTAAAAAGATTGTCCAGACCACTTATACACCTCCACAGTCAAGAGCATTCACAGCTGTCCCTACACCCATACAGTCATTATTCTACACAACTTGTGTGTGACTTTAGATATTTGAACATACAAACAAAGATTGAAAGACAGTTTTGAATGAATTGTTTCTGATTAAATACAGCCACAGTTTCAAATACTGATACTGAAAGGGCTTGTAGTACCACAACAAGAATTACTTGTTCATCCAGAACTATTCATATCTGGTGTAAACAGATGAAACACATTTCGAAATTGTAAATCATCAACTACATTATATTTCTAGTAGTAATAAGTAAGTATTTTACTATTTGTGAAGTGCAGTATTCTTATGTAAAGTGCAAGGTGAATATGTTATTTTGACAATCATTCTCACCCAATTTCAGGGATTTTATTTACTTAAACGTTTTTATATCAGGGAAATGTGCATCTCGGAAAATTTGCAAGTTGTATGAGACAAACATATATCAGACAAACTGACTGCCATATCTATCTATATATATATATACATATATATAGCCTATATACTGTTAATATAGTGACACCTTTAGCTTGCATACCTGTTGCCAAGAAGCGCAGTGTAATCATCAGCTGTTTCCCCAACGGACATACAATCCCGGTAGTTAGTGTTCTGCCTCTGGATGATCAGACTTACAAGTTCCTTCAACAGGTGAAACTGGACAGGAAAGAGCCAAGCGAAATTTTTAAAATTGGAGGTTTCATTTGTCTCCAGCTCTCGACACAGGTTCGGGAAAGCCCCTTGAGCCTGTCGCTGCAGTATCCATGATTTTACCCATTTCATGCGGTTTCTCCTTATTTTTCCTCTCTGCGTCTTCCTTTCTTCTTCCACACGCAAAAGACCAAGGGCTGACAATGCCAGTGCCATTTGCAACTTATCAGACATTTTATCAGCTACACGAAATCATCTGTGGCGAGCGAGAGTGGCGTGAAAATGCTAGGAAACCGCTAGCTTCTTTGTTTATATTTCATGCATTCCTTGGACTTCCGGTTTCCCGAGTTATTTCCTCTCACGTATGCGCAGAACGTTAGGTGCTGGTTGGCCGTCGGATGTAGTCTGTGTAGTGTGTTCAAATGCACTGACACAGGGTGATGTGAGGCGACGTAGACGACAGAACAGTCGGCTTTGTCGCCGCTAGTTCTTTGATGTCGGCTTGGTGTGTCAGGGCCTTAAGAAAACTTGACTTATGGCCTATTTCCTTCTAAGCCTCACCCTTTGCAACGATGTTTTGATAGATTGTGGCCATTTTTATTGATAGATCTTGTTCATTCATACTAGGATTGTGTATCTCTGTCCCACAAGACTGTGAAAAAGGTTTGCTCAAACTTTTGCCATGCTCATTTTGTGAGGCTACTCTGCTCTGCAATACTAAGTTAAAATCAAGTTGTCAGCTTAAAATGTTAACTTTCAGACTGAGCTTAACTTTTAAGCTGTTGATAACATCATGACATCACTTAAGGTCAGTGCTGGTAATATTAGCATCAGTGCTGTAGCATTTCCACAAACATGCCAGGCTAAGGATATTTCAACTACATCTTACCTGAGGTCTTGATCTACTAATTAAGAAAGCAGATGGCAGAGAACAGAAAAAAAACAGGTCATATGGCTCCTACAAAATAACATTAACATTTTACAGTGTGTTGTGTTTCTGTAGTTTTTATGTATAAAACCATAATCAACAGACAGGGTCTTACCTTGAGTTGTTTGAAGAAGACGGATGTGCGAGCCCACTCCACAATGGAGAAAAGCATCTGATCAGCCATGAGGCACATCAGGCTGAAGGTGCTAGGGTTTCCATGTTTCTCCCAGCTCATGTGCTCCTGCAGGAGACGAGCAGTGATCTGAGTCTGCAGCTGTAGCTCATCTGGATCACAGTGCAATAACTCTATCATCAGCTGAGGCATCCCGGGGCCTTGTGGAGAGAAAGGTCTCAAGTATATCTTGCCTGAGTTGATTCCTGCAGTAAAGCCGGGTGAACTTGCACAGTTGTAAATGTGCTCTGACCTGATGGTCCAATTTGAGAGGGAGGTACACTGGTACTGTGTGGCACCACGTGAGCTGGATGGCAGGAGTGAACACAGTGATGGAGGCTGGTAGCTCATATGACTGTTCTGTGTTGAGGGCAGTGGGGTGCTGTGAAGTATGGGTGCTAGATGGAGGTCACCAGTGAAGGTCAAGTCCCTCTGGTGGGTTGAGGAGACCAGAGCTGGGTTGCTGTCTAGTCTGAATCCACTAGCTTGAATCAAAGCCTTTCTCTGCAGCTTGAGGGCACGATCACACTTGTATATGGGGCCAAACTTGTTTCTGCCACCTCGCATCCGATCTGCTCGAACAGCTGAGGAGAACAGTTGATAGAATAGAATAGAATAAAATATCTTTATTGTCATTGCACAAGTACAACGACATTGAGGTAGAGCTCTCAGATTCAGTGCTATTTAAAGGATACTAAAGACAAACAACAAATGAGAACAAAAAAGACAAATAACAGGCACAATATAAGTTAAATAAATACAAAAGAAATAGTTTAAAACTGTAAAAACAAAACCTATGCTATTTAGTATACAACTATACTATGTAAAGCTGTACACTCACACACACACATGATAGATATTGCACATGATAAATATTGCACAACAGGATTTATTGCACCAGCCAGCAGAGGTTATTCAGAAGTTATTTCAGGTTTGTGCATAGTTCAGTGCGATAACAGCTCTGGGGTAGAAGCTGTTTTTCAGTCTATTAGTTTTTGATTTGATTGTCCTGTAACGTCTCCCTGAGGGTCACAGTTCAAACAGATGGTGACCAGGGTGGGAAGGGTCTTTGAGGATGCTTTGAGATGCTTTGGGCTCTCTTGAGGCAGTGGGTGTTGTAAATGTCCTCCAGAGAGGGGAGAGGGCATCCAGTAAGTTTCTGGGCAGTGTTGATTACCCTCTGGAGCACTTTCCTTTCAGCAGCAGTGCAGCTGGCATACCACAGCGTGATGCCGTAGCTCAGCACTGACTGGATGGAGCAGTTGTAGAATTAGATATTAGATTAGATTAGACAGAACTTTATTAATCCCTTGGGAAGACTCCCTCAGGGAAATTAAGATTCCAGCAGCATTGGATAGCAGCTCACAGGGTAAGGAGCAGACAGGGTATCAAAAAGTAAAAAGTAAAAAGAATTTGCAAAATATAGATATAAGATATACAGATAATAAATAAGTAATTCCTTATTATATTCCTTATTGTTGTGGCTATTGGCTTCTGGTTACTGCTCGCTACTGGCTACTGGCTACTGCTCCTTTCCATCCTCTGTCTTCCTGTTACTCCTCTTCCCCCCGAGTGAGGAGTTGTACAGTCTGATGGCCTGAGGGACATAGGAGTTTTTCAGTCTGTTAATCCTGCACTTGGGAAGGAGCAGTCTTTGGCTGAACAGGCTCCTCTGGTTGCTGATGATGGTGTGCAGAGGGTGACTGGCACCATCCATAATGTCCAGCAGTTTGTCCAGTGTTCTCTTCTCTGCCACCGTCACCAGAGAGTCCAGCTTCATGCCAACCACAGAGCCGGCCCGCCTGATCAGTTTGTCCAGCCTGGATGTGTCCTTCTTGGATGTGCTGCCCCCCAGCACATCACGGTGTAAAAGAGGACGCTGGTTACCACGGACTGGTAAAACATCCGCAGGAGTTTCCTGCAGATGTTAAACGACTGCAGCCTCCTCAGGAAGTACAGCCTGCTCTGTCCCTTCCTGTACAGGTGGTTGGTGTGGGGTTGTCCAGTCCAGTTTGCTGTCCAGCCACAGCCCGAGGTACCTGTAGGAATCCACAGCCTCCACCTCAACTCCCTTGATCAGAACTGGTTGTGGTCTTGGTCTGGACTTCCCAAAGTCAATGACCAGCTCCTTTGTCTTCGAGGTGTTGAGCTGTAGATGGTTTGTGTGGCACCAGACAGCAAAGTCCCTCACTAGGCTCCTGTACTCCTCCTCTCTGTCGTCCCTGATGCATCCAACGATGGCTGTGTCATTGGCGAACTTCTGGATGTGACACAGCTCAGAGTTGTAGCAGAAGTCCGAGGTGTACAGGGTGAAGAGAAGAGGGGCTAGCACCATACCCTGGGGTGCTCCGGTGCTGCTGATCACAGTGTCAGGCGTGGTGTCCCTCAGCCTGACGTACTGCCGCCTGTTGGTGAGGCAGCTGGAGATCCAAGTGACCAGGCAGGGGTCCACTCGCATCCTGTTCAGTTTGTCCTGATGCACAAGGGGCTGGATGGTGTTAAAGGCGCTCGAGAAGTCTAGGAAGAGAATCCTCACCATGCCACTTCCCTTATCCGGGTGCGAGTAGCAGGTAGAGTATGGCATCCTCCACACCAACACCTGCCCAGTATGCAAACTGCAGACAGTCCTGGGCGTGTTGCACCTGGGGTCTGAGGAGGCTGAGGAAGAGCCACTCCAACTTCTTAATCAGGTGTGAAGTGAGTGCCACTGGTCGGAAGTCATTCAGCTCACTGGGCCAGTTCTTCTTAGGAACTGGAACGATGCAGGATGTCTTCCAGGGTGGGCACTCTCCCTAGCTGCAGGCTAAGATTGAAGATGCATTGTAGCAGTTCTCCTAGTTCAGCAGCGCAGGTCTTCAGTAGTCGGGGACACACCTTGTCCGGGCCTGCTGCTTTCCTGGGGTGAAGCTTCCTCAGCTGTCCTCTGACCTGGTCCACAGTGATGTATGGAGGAGGTTGTGTTGAGGTGGGGGAGGAGGAGGAGGGGGGTGCTGCTGTGATGTCTGGGG